AAAAAGTGGATAAATCAAAAGATTTCTGGACGCCTTCATTATAAAATACCGTATTCGAATCATTTTCTACCCATTTTTTTTTTTTTTTTTTTTTTTTTTTTTTTTTTTTTTTGGAAAAGTTTATACCATGGTTTGATGTTTGTTTTGCTGTTGTTGCTCACGTAAACCTTAAAGCACCGCTAGATATAAGACAAGCGGAACCAACACAATATGGAACTAGAGAAAGGGAAAGCATGAGCGTTGATGACGGCACAGCGCGCGGTAGAGCTATTTGTGCTTGGTGGATGTTGAATTGCATCTGCAAAATATTGAAGGCGCGATGTCTCGAGGCGTGAACTCTTATGCTTTCACACTGAATCGTAAATCAAATGATGAGACGGTCAAATTGTTGTCCTCCTTAGACTGTATATTAAAATTGCAGAAGGCTCCGATTTTCCATAAGACGTATGTTGTCTTTCAAATTCAACCATCAGAGCACGATTTCAAGACACGAACGACGGACCCATTTTTGAAGATTAAAGTTTGGTAACCTTTAATCGTAAAAATACGCAGTGACTGATCATTGTCTTCAACTCTCATTTTTAGATATTTCCCAGGAGGGCTCTCGGGGAACTGAACTGCGTTCTAGCCTGGTTTTAGGTGAACTATATTGATTCTTAAAAAATGACGCATTTCCTGAAAGAGAACTCTGCCCGGAGGACGAGAATTGAAGAACTTGGTTGTTTATTCTTCTTTTGTTTTCCCTCCAATCTTTTCTCCTCCCTCACATTTTGGAATTAAAGTTGATGAAAACGCAAAAGGATTGTTCTAAGCGAAAGCACACAACTTCTGGCATGCAGGTTTGATTTCCGCGTAATCAGGCAGAATTGTACAATGCTTAAATTTAAAGAGTTAGATGTGATTTCATGTTTGAAGATTTCATTAAAAGAACTCCAGAGTATATTAAAAATTTGGTGTGCGTAAATTTAAAAAAAAAAAAAAAAAAAAAAAAAAAAAAAACAGATGTTCTACCCAAGGAAAGTATGAATAAGCAGAAGTAAACGAAGAAAATTGCTGTCAATTTTCCTATGTATAATGCAAGTATCTTAAATTTGTTAAAATTACGACATCCCATAGCCCATCGATTTTAAATCAATTACTTATTGGACCGCATTTTGAAATAAGAATTACTCTGCCGTGCTAAGGAAGAACGCCGTATGAACATTCGAGAGTTCCAAATTTCCTTCGATAAAATGTTTTTTTATGAGGAAAATTGTGAATATTTTCCTTTGAAATTTTCAGACGTCTTAGATAAAATTATAAACAAAATCATCTGTGGACTTGGTAGACAAATATTAAAACATTTTCCTGAAAATTTGTGATATACCAGGGGAAATGTGGCAACGTCTGAAGGCTCTTACGGCGTTTTTCCTTAGCACGGCAGTACTATCTCAGGCTCATCTGTAATTGAACCTATCTGCATAGGAAATTCAATGGCAAATATGTCGTTCCTAAAATTAGTCAGAAAACGTACCTCCTTATTGCAAAATGGAGTCCAATCGTTTATCGCATAATTGGACCCTCAGATTTTCCTTTTTTCGTGAGCCGTTCGAGTGGAATAGGTACAGCATAAAACTCTGTTACCTATCATCCCCATGGTTTTAAATGTTTCGTGTTTTTACGAATTACTATGCCGACGGCCCCTCAACCAAGATTCTCAATTGCGAGGTTTCATATTACTCTCTTCCAATTCATAGTTTTAAAGTAAAACAAAACTATTTCATTCTTTAAAATTTTCCTCTGAGATAAAAAATCACGAGACTTTTCAAAAAAACGACGTTTCTCACTGAAAAAAAAAGATACGTCAAGAAATCTGCAACTTTGCAAACCGAGATGTGCGGTTTAAGAATATGTAAAATCCTGCCAATTGACGAAAGCAGCTCTCAATGATACGCCTTGCCCTAAAATTTCTTTCTTTACAACAGTTGAGCCTTGCCACTGGTTTTCTCACTTCTCGAATTTGAATTTACTTTTAAGCGTAGACTTCGTTTAAGAACATGAAGCAAAGCGAGAGAAGCAGGGGGAGGGAGAGAACCATCGTAGAGGCAAACGCTGATGAATTGTTTCCAAGCGGTGTGGTGTCTTTGAAGTTCTGCTGTTTTTCTCCCTTCTCCAGTCTCCCTGAGTCCAAAACGAATGTTCGCGCTGATAAATAGCCTCTTACTCGCTTTTTTGTTCAAAAAGTTAAGGTCTTAAATTCCACTAAAGGAACACTCAAGAGCACTTACTGTGAAATGTCACACTAACCCAGTAGCACACGATATTGTATTTTTCCTCCAAAATTTGTGACCGTCTCTAGAAGCAGGACCCAGTCCACGGTGGACATTTTTTTTTCCAGGAAAGGGACTCTTCATTCGGTTAATCGGAAATTTGGGTTTTTAGTTTCTGTTGGGAAACTTTCTTTTTTGGTGTGTCATTAAAAATGATTTATTGATTAACCCAATTAAATAAATATAAGGCATCCCTGCCAAAAATAACTTATCATCGTGATTTTCAAATGATCGTCTGAGGTATGAAAATATTCGCAATGAGCATTGTGACAGTGCTGTTGCACTGTTATGTGGTTTGTCATTGATTCTTAATCTGGAATCAATACGGGTCAGAATAAGCGAGTTTCTAAGTTTTCTTAGTTTAGACCTAGTTTAGGTTAGACCGGAAACTACAGCAAAGTTCAAAAAACCGTCGTGTGCTAGGAAGCAAAGTTCTCTCTCCATGCGTTTTAATTAATAATAAATTAATCAAGCTTAATTAATTGAATCTGGAATTAAACCGAGTGAGATTACCTACATTTATACCGGCACTCTATATCCTTCAAAGGATCAAATTTGTCATTAAAAACGCGATGAGTGTTGTGGCTGATTTGATTTTTGGATTTGATAACATCTTCAGACATACCAATATTAAAAACATCAAAACTTGACGAAAAGTCTCTCAGAGCAAAACCAAAGTCTCAGAAATTCAATTGATCGCTGCTCTATCTCTAAACTCAGGGATTTTGTTTGACGGCTCAGACATTCCTTAATTCCTGCCAGGAGTCAACAACTCTTATTCTACAAGACTTTTTGCACTCTTGACAAATTTCTTATAAAGTGCATGACCTACCGTCATGTATACAAATATTTGACCTGTACCGCGATGCTCATCTGTACAGCAGGAAAAACATGTATGAGGGATATTCCAGTTTTTAGTCCTGGTTACTGAAGTTTTCGATGATAGGGCGCTTAAACGCGACTTCTTCCTAAACTCCCCCTGAAAGTGGGCATTCCCTCTATTTTTTTGTTCAACCCTGTGTACTGGGTCGCTGGGTACAACCCCTTCCCTTTGGTGTCGTCTTTGAATCATCCCAGAAGGAACCCAATCGACCATCTTTTTTGGCATCCATTTTCCTGTCATTCTGCTCACTTGAGACCATACTAGACTAGGTGTTTGGTCATAGCATCGAATACGATGTCATTTTCAACTTCCAACGCACTCTGCCATTGCAGACCCGATCTATAAATCCTTGATGACTATTTGTAGTTTTCTCGACAAAGGAACGTAACTGCATTCTAGTGTTTCAAAATTGACTCAAAATATTCAATTTTTTACAAGAATGCACCATTGAGATTTTTGTCAGAAATTTGTTTTATTTTTGCATACGATCGGATAGAAAATCAGCATTATTTTTAGTTAGAAATGCCCAAGAATCTTCTGATAAAAATAGAATTTGCAAGCGATAATTTGGTAATATTGAAATATAGTTGCGTTCTTTCGTGAGGGAAACGACTTAATGAGTATGTACCTTAAATTTCCCTTGCCCGATCCCCCGTGTTCTTTTATTGGACGCATTTATCCTAAAAGGAACTATGTCCCTCGCAAACCCTATTCACATAGTTCCTTTCAGCTGAATACGTCCAATTAGACGACGATGTGCATTGCGCGCTTTGTGAAGTTCATTTTCTGGGTCCACAGCCCATGAGCGCAAATTTTCGAAATCGATAGCACAAAAGCGCTAATGTGACAGTATAAGCGCAAATTTTCTTTAGCCCAAAAAAATAAATAAGTATCGATTGGTTAGACATCAGTTTCGATACATTTAAGGTAGCACAAATTGAAGAGATCAAAATTAAAGTAGAAATCATAAGAAAGTACCTCTGTTCGTTTCTTGATAATGTTAGGTCCACAAAACGATTGCCGAATAAGTGCTAAATTGTAGGGTTTGCGTAGTCAAACCGCGACACAACCGATCGGAGGTCTCAGCACTAAGCTTCTCTGTAATAAAAACGCGCTCTCTACTTAAACCACCTCCCAACTCTCAGATACGTCCCACTAATACGGTACATCGGTGGATGTAACAACTGAGCGATAATCTCTCAGATCGACAGCCCATAAGCGGAAATCGCTCCGTTTGCGCTTTTAGGCTATGGATTTCGGGTATTAGCGCTTATAGGTAAACATTTCTAAAACAGCAGCCCGTGACAATGATGATATCAAAAATATGGGAGAAAAACGGGAAACAAGGCTAAAAATTACACATAAAAAACCCGAGACGTTTCAGCCCAAACTGAGCCAATTTCAGTCGGAAGAATAAAAATAAAATATAAAAATTCCAAATAGAAACCCGCAGACTACACGATGGCCGAGAAAATCAAAACAGAGATTTGGTATTTGAGCTTATGGGCTGGAGCGGATAAAGTGATAAGCATGTTTAAGCTGACGCACAGTGGATCGAGTCTATCAGAGAGATTGGACATGGAAATTTTGATTAAAACTGCAAATTTTAATGTTTATTTTGTCAAGTTTGAAATTAAAAGGGGTGTCTGTGGATGGAAATGTCACGAGGAACCAATGAAATCAATGATAGAACATGAAAATGTTGATTTCACGGAGTTGTAATCGTTTAACGTTTGGAAATTTTGGTCGACCTCTCCTATTGACTGGATCCACTGTGTAGCGTAAGGCGTGAGTAAATGGGTAAATACCTGGCATCATTGTGAACTCGGACCCTGCGTACCGTCCTGGGCGGGTCGGTGGCGGAACACCTGCAATGCATGATGCACAACGCGACGGAGGTGATGAAACACACTAGGAAGGGGAGCCCGAAGAAGTGTCTGATGATGCGCACTTGCCGCTCCCGGTCGTACTCGGCCATGACGACCGTCCGGTTCTGGCGCGAGTAGTAGCACGGGAACTGGGCGCCCTCCTGGCCGTAGTCCTCGGTGAAGTTGGCGCACTTGACCTCCGGCGGGTAGCCGCAGCCCTTGATGTTGACCAGGAGGACGGCGTCCTCGGTGCGAGTGTCGTTGTGGTCCGTGTAGGCCACGTAGATGTGGGAGCACTTGTACATGTCACTGGTGCAGCCCTCGCGGCAGCTCGACCAGGAGCAGTTGAAGATCCCGAGGAGCTCCTCGCGGCGGACCGTGGTGCAGGTGACCGGCTCCGGGGCGAAGTCGGCCACCAGGGTCGAGATCGCCGGGTCCACGTACAGAGGCACTAGGAAGAGGAGCGAGGACCCGGCCGACACTGACGTCATCACCAGGAACGATGTGCTATAGAACCACGCCCGCTGCCGACATGTTCGCTTCTGCTTCTTCGCGCCCTTGCTGCTCGCCGCTAGTTCCAGTAGCTTCCGCTTCCTGAGCTCCTGCTGCGGGTCTAACAGGAGTTCGGAGCTGCTCCCTCGCATGACTGACGGCCCGACGTCGCCACGGCCGCGCGCACCACCGCTCCGACCGCCCCCCCCCTCCC